AAAAAGAGTACATGCTGGAGAAGATTCTAGAAAACACAACTAACTTGTAGAGACAGAAAGTGGACCCACTGGTGGTTCCTTGAGGGTGAGGAGAGGCCAGAAGGGAAGGATTAGGAGAGGACAACAGGGGACTTGGGGTGACGGGGATTTTCAAGACCGTGGCTATGGTGACGGTTTCAGAGGTGTGTGCAGTATGTCAGACTATCTGAAATGTGTAGTTTACTGCATGTTGATTATACATCAATAAAGCGGTTTTTTACAAAAAATACCCAGTGAAGGGAAAAGATATATATTGTCAAGAAGCACCCAAATCCTGTTAATGCTTAAGACCCTCCTTGTCCTCCCTGTCAGCCGTTCACAGCCAGATCTGGGAAAAGATGGAGCAGGAGCAAATGCCACTTCAGATGACCTGGACCCTAACATGAGGTCACTGCAGGTGGGAGAAGGCCGTCTAGCCAATCCCCACAGCATCAGAAATCCTGAGCTCCGAAAAGAAGACATGTGAGGGTACCCCAAAGATACTGCTGACATTCACACGCAAGAGCCAAAGCGCTGGTAAATAACTTCCCATTTTTCTAGAAACATGATAGCAACAAACACAATCACTCCCAAACAAATACTTCCTCACACATGTGCTCTACATGTTTTGTTCTGAATTGGTATATTCAGCGTCTAACTTCTTTCAATAGTCAGCATGGAGAGAGCATAAAAATTAACTGTTTCTATGAGATAAATATAAAATAACCTTTGAAAAAGGGCTATTCTTAATAACCCACTGAATAACCAAGTAACGACGAGTGAGCTTAAAAGGTTAAAAAGGCAGCAGTGCTGCGGGACTGCTTAGCAGGAGTAACAGGTACTCACCCCGTTTTCCTTCCTCCGATGGTCACCAGGAACTTTCACACCATTTCTCTTCAAAGTTGGGTCCTGAGGCCGTGGTCCACTCACTAAGCACAAAATCCAAAACTAAGCATTAAGTCAGAGTTGCAGATACTCCAAGTGCCAGTCCATTTCTTAGTTCTGTGACTGCTGCCCTTTGATATTTTAAGTTGAAAGGAAACTTCAAACAAAATCTTTTCTAATAGCGACGGCACTGAGGTCTCGAGTTCAGCCTGTTTTGGGAAGCCTCTCTCGGAACAGTGAATAGTGAACTTTACTAAACGCCCCTTGCTGACCCTTCCCTAGGAAAGCTGCATGATTCAGAGACCAGAAGAGGGGGAAATGTAACAAAATCAATGTACTTCTCATTCCGGGTGAATCACACCATTCGCTCCGAGTAGCTCCTCCTAGTTCTCCATTTAGCTCCTCAGGAGTGAAATCAGAAACAGTTTCATTGAAAGAATTAAGTGAGCATTAAATCAATCCGTCCTGTGCTCACTGAGTGTTTTGTGACTTACACGGGAAGGAAGCAATTGAAAATACAAGTGGTATTTTGAATATTTGGCTTATTGAGAGCATTTTGTGGTAATTCTTAAGTACTATGAAGTACTTCCCATTTATTTAAGTAAAAATCTTGCATTTTCTTAGTTTGGGAAAGTACTAACTGGAAAACACTGTATTCTGTTTTGGCTAAAACAAATGTTTTAAGCCAAAATATATGGGTCTCTCAGCATCACTTAATGCATCATAAGGGAAAATAGTCCTAATTTAAACAGATACATTGTAAGAAACAGATAATATCAACAAAGAGAATTTTTTAAATAAGTGAAATTAAGCTAATATTTATACTTCCAGAAATTAGAAAGATTATTCAATTATCAAGAAATTTTAGAGTAAAATTTCTTTTGAATCAAATGTCTACTGAATCTGCCTAAAGCTTACCACAAATTCCCATGCCAGTAATACGATATCCTCAGACCCCGGGGTCACACCATCCCTAGTCCTAATGTGCTAGCTTTATTTATTTATTTACTTATTTATAACATATTTTTATTGATTTCATAGAGGAAGGAAGGGGGAGAGATAGAAACATCAATGATGAGAGAGAACCACTGATTGGCTGCCTCCTGCACGCCCCCCACTGGGGAACGAGCCTGCAACTCGGGCATGTGGCCTTGACTGGAATCGAACCCGGGACCCTTCAGTCCGCAGGCTGACACTCTATCCACTGAGCCAAATGGGCTAGGACTGTGTTAGCTTTATTTTTAAAACACTGTGCAATTCTCTGAGAAAATAGCTCCAGGATCGGCCACACTATTTCTGCAAAAAAATAAACCTCCCGTTTAGGAATGACTGCTGTCTTCGCTGCCTCACCAGTTCCTTCCCGGCCATGCAGTCCCACAGTTAGAACTGCCTCCCAGGCAGCCCCCACCAGTTCCTTCCCGGCCATGCAGTCCCACAGTTAGAGTGTGAGGCAAGAGCTTTAAAAATAGTTCCACATCCATTCTGGGTCCCAGGTCCGGTGAAACTGGAAGAAGACCATGGTGACAGCCTCCTCATCCGTAACCTAGCCGTCCCCACTAAGGAGGACACGGACAAGCAGCCCTGCTCTACCCCAAGTCAGACACCATGTGGCACTGGAGTTTGTGACAACGTGAAACAGCTCCCTCCCCTTCCCATCCTACTCTCACGTTACAGACACACCGACACTGCACATCACACTATCGCGAGGCCGTTTAATAATTCAGCCAGGACGACACGGGCGGACATTTGAACTGGCAGGTGAGTGGGTAAAGTCCAACTCCTTTCTTACAAGAGGATGCGTACAGCAACGTAAACAAAGAACAAAATAAAAACGAGATGCAGGTGCCAGTTTAAAGCTACAGAAGAAGAACGCTTAGGGAGAAAATACGTGCTCATTTAAATGAGAGCCACGGGCACCAGTCACACTGGCAGGCATGCCAGCCGGCCTGGCAGAGGTGACGCAAGCCCCACTCCTGGCTCTGCCTCTGGGTGTGTGGCCTCTGACAAGTCACTGAACCCCGAAGTATCAGCCTTCTCAACTGCAGAGTGGAAGAGGCCAGACAAGTCAATGTTGAGCTCCTCCACGGTCTACACTTGATAAGTTCTCATTGTTGGGTACCATATGGATATCTGCATTAAAGCGATAAAACCGAGACTTCATGACATCCAGTGACGAACATGTTACCTACATTCTTACTCCCCAGAATTATATACGGAAGTCACAAACCCCCAGCTTCCCATTGTGAAACGCCAAGTCTTAGAAAGACCTAGCGTTCCGCCCCCACCGGGCCTTCCCGCGGAGAACAGAGCTTCCCACGGGCCTGCCTTGAGCTGCTCACCCTCCCACAGCCTCCGAGACCTGCCCGGAGGGCGGGGACGCGTCCAGCCTGCCGTCTCTCCACCGTCATGACTGCCTCCTGCCCTCTCCTCACCATCACCTACACACCTGGTCACAGCCCGCATCACGGGGCGAGCACCTGACTCCCGTGTTCTCCCCGCGGGGCCTGCCTGCCTCCCACATGACCGTCCCCTCCACAAGCCAGGCTCTCGGCCCTGGGCTTCCTCATCCCCACCCCAACCCAGGCTCCTTTCATGACCAACCTGGACCCTCGCCACTTAGAGGAGCCCCACCCCGGAACGTCACCTCCCAGCGTTCTGCTTGTGACCACACGTTCCTCACTCACCCCTGCACGACCTGAGACTTGTCACCTCTAAACCCTGGTCGCCCTTTCCCCTCAGCCCTTCCCATCCTCACTTCCTCCCACCCACCCAGCTTAGATGTCATCTTGCCAGTATCCTCGCCATCCCTGTCCCTGACCTTCCACCGAATTGGTCTGGCATCGCCCCAGACTGGGGTCAATTCAACCACCTTTTCCCTTACGACCCTCAGGGCTGGAGAAGGTCACGGGTGGCCTCATGGCCTCCATGGAGCCCGCCAACCTGCTCCCCTGGGGCTCTCTCCTATTCTTCACGTCCATCCTCACCTTCAGAGGCCTGCCTCCTCCGCCTGAGAAAGCGTGTTCCGGTGACAAGTTCCCCGACTTGCTCACAGGCGCACACATTTACTCGCACTGCGACCGCTCCTTCCTGTCCTGTCACCATGGAAGAGGCTCCCTCCTCTGCCCACAGAATCTCTCCACTAGGGCTGAGGGACGCCCCCTCAGCTTCCCCTCTTTCACGTACTGCAACCGCCTCCCCTCCCGCATTGAAAACTACCATAAAGCGTCTCCCATCTGCCCCCTTGGCTGGTGTGGCTCAGTTGGGTGGACGCCATCCCATGCACCGAAAGGTTGCTAATTCCATTCCCAGTCAGGGCACATGCCCAGGTTCCAGGCTCGATCCCCAGTAGGGGGCCCCATGAACCAAGATGTTGCTAATTCCATTCCCGGTCAGGGCACATGCCCAGGTTCCAGGCTCGATCCCCAGTAGGGGGCATGCAGGGGGCAGCCAATCGATGTTTCACTTTCGCATCGATGCTTCTCTCTCTCCCTCTCCCCTCCTCTCTCTCTGAAAATCAATACAAAAATCTTAAAAAACAAAAAACTTCTCTTCTTCCAACCAAACAGAATAAGCAAGACCATCCCCGTGTCTCCTCCCCAACAGGCAGATCTTAGAAACGTGGCCTCTTCCCACGGTTCGCACTCACCTCTTGCTCTCCCCTCAAACTGCCCGGTTCCACCCCAACGCATAAAAACACAGTCCGCACCCTGCGCCTGCTCACAGAATCTACCCACCGAAGTCCCTGCCAGGGGGGCGCTCGTGCCTCAGGAAGAAACGCACGTCGCTCCTCTGACTCCCAAACCTCTGCAGGACGTCGAACATCCGCTCGTTATCTGCGACGGGGCGTTCTGGAAGAAAGACAAACATAGCATGTCATCCTCCTTCATGCACAGTATACATTGGGGGTGTAGGAAATACACGGCATCTTAGGTCATTTGTTTCCATTTAAGGCCCCTTAGAAAACGCAGTATCACGGAATTCCCACACCCAGGTGGAGACCTGGAAGGAGGCCTGTGCCTGGGTCCCTGGAAGGAGCCGGGGCCGACCTCACTCCGTGGGCATGGCATCTTAGGTCATTTGTTTCCATTAAAGGCCCCTTAGAAAACGCAGTATCACGGAATTCACACACACACACACACACACACACACACACACACACACACACACCATCAGTGTCGAGCCGGGTGGAGACCTGGAAGGAGGCCTGTGTCTGGGCCCCTGGAAGGAGCCGGGGCCGACCTCACTCCGTGGGCCCCTCACCAGCCATCAGCCTGCCACCTGGCCAGCCCCCGGGGTTCAAAGGTTCCGTCACCTCAGACATGGGATGGTCTGAGGTCCCTTCTAACGCCAATGGTTCTAGGATTCTCTAAACACATAAACCAAACATTTCGTCGAGCCGGGTGGAGACCTGGAAGGAGGCCTGTGTCTGGGCCCCTGGAAGGAGCCGGGGCCGACCTCACTCCGTGGGCCCCTCACCAGCCATCAGCCTGCCACCTGGCCAGCGCCCGGGGTTCAAAGGTTCCGTCACCTCAGACATGAGATGGTCTGAGGTCCCTTCTAACGCCAACGGTTCTAGGATTCTCTAAACACATAAACCAAACATTTCACAAACAACTTTCTAAATAGCCTAGTCTTACTCTCTATTAGACTTTTTAAATTATCATTTTAAAAACTGTTAAAAAATGACATGTATCCATTGCCAGATAACAGGCTATTCACTGCACTAAAAATACATCCACTTGGCCACTCCAGGGAAACTGCCACTTGTCAGAACTTTTCTAGAGACAGAAAGAAGGGCTCAGCGAGACACCCTAATCGATGGGAACTTCAGGAGAAACCAGGTACCTTAAGCTCCCCTCAAAAAAATCTCCCAACCCTGACTCATGGGCCATCCTATGCCCAAAGGGCTGCGGGTTCGAGTCCCAGTCAGGGCGCATGCCCAGTTTGTGGGTTCCATGCCAGTCAGGATGCATGCGGAGGCAACTGATCGGTATTTCTCGATTGCCAGTATCATTTTTAATAGAAGACAGTTGAAACAGCCTAAGAAAACTCAATGCACTTGTCAGTCACCAGAGGCAATACCTAAGGAAACAGCACGGGCAGAGAATGCAGCAGCCAGGCATGCAGCAGCCCATTTCGCGAGCTAACCCTGAGCTTCATGGGCCTGGTTGCAACCAAGGTCCGTTCTGGTCCTATTCCCAGTGACAGAGCGTACTGAGCCGACACAGACGTCCCTCTTCTGCAAACCACAGAAATTCTACTCAGATCCCCCTGGAAGGGAACACCATAGATGAGTAGAAACCCATCGAAATAAAGTGAGTAGCCCTCCACCTCCTCACCACACACACACACACACACACACACACACTATTCCAAAGGAAATAAAATCCCCCGATTCCAGAAGCAAAGAAAGAACTCAAAGGCAGTGAGGCAACTCCCATCCCTGCTGGGTTGGACCATTTTAAAGGTCATGAACCTTCCCGTAGGTCTGGGAGCCGAGGCCCTGCTGGCCTGTGATAACAAGAGCAGGCCTGGGCCTGCACGTGCTGAAATGCACTCCACAGGTTTTCAAGGCCCCTGCCCCCCAAACCCCCCTCCCCTATCTCCTCGGCCTCTGTGACTGTGAATGTGCCACTCTGCGCACGGATACGTCCCAGCACCCTCTCCTCCGGCAGATGGAGCAGGTCCACCCATCACTGTAGTTACCACGCCGCGTTCTAAGCATCTGCTGAACCTGCTTCTACCTGAAGGCAGGAAACTTATCTGTCTCCCTCCCAATCGGTCCCGAGCCCAACAAGAATCTAAGAAATGCTCTCTACACAGCAAGGAAGGAACTGGAGATGGCAAATCAAAGCTGCTCGTTTTAAAAAGATTGTCAGCCAAAGAAAATAAGAAGTTTGAGAAGCTAACAAAATCAAAGTAATATACTTACTATTTGTTAAATAGGACACTTTGGACAATTTATAGCAAAAGGGGGGGGGGGGTTAAAACATCATAGCTATTACTTACTGAGAGCTAATACTAAGTGCATGGAGGGCTATGCTAAGCCCCCAGCACGTATTATCTCCTGGGATCCTCACTCAATCCTATGGGATAGGTTCAATTATCATCCCAATTCTGTAGATAAAACACAGAGATTAAGGACCGGCCTTCAATCACAAAGCTGGTAAATGACAGAGACAGAATCTTAATACCCAAGACTTCGTTCTTAATCACACCTTACAAACAACCCTCAAATCAGTTGAGTTCACTGCAACCAATCCAAATCCCAACAGAATGCTTCACGGAGCCTTTCAAGGTAATTCTAAAACATCTGAAAAAGGGACTATACAAGCATAGCTCAGATATATTTTTTTTTAAAGCAGAAGAACAAAAAAAATAAAAAAATAAGATAAAAATAAATAAAAAGCAGAAGAATGAAATAAGCACTTGCCTTACAGATACCCAACAAATTGGAAAACTATAGTAATTAAAACTGGTTCTGTCCCGCCCTGGCCAGTGTGGCTCAGTTGGTTGGGCGTTGTCCCTGCGCCGAAAGGTTGCTGGTTCAATTCCCAGTCAGGGCACATGCCCGGGTTGAGGGCTCCATTGCTGGGAGGGGGCGTGCAGGAGGCAGACAATCCATGTTTCACTCTCACATCAATGTTTCTCTCTCTCTCTCCATCTCCCTTCCTCTCACTCTAAAAATCAATTTTAAAAAATCTTTATAAGACAAACAAAAGCTGGTTCTGTCCTAAATAAGAAGAAAAAATGAAAGGAACGGGCTAAAGCTTACAGAAACACCCCTTCCTAGGAGACACGACATAGGACAGGAAGTGATGTCGTGACAGTAGGGAAAAAACTGTTCAGTGAGGCACTTAAGAAGATTCACTATCCATCTGGGGAAAAAGTTAAATCCCTAATTCACACCAGGCACAAAAATTAATGAGGCAAGGGAGGGGTGGGGGAGAGGAAGGAAGGAAAAGATCTTAAAACTTCTGGCATGAAATAACAGAAGAATATGTTTACGGTCTTGGAGTAAGGAAAGACTTTTCCCATAAAGGGGATAACTTGGCCTGAGGTCTACAATAGAATGTTTTTTCAATTTGTCTTTGTTTTGAATGCCTACAAAGCAAGAGGGAAAAGGCAGACGCCAAAGGAAACCTACGGAGAAACCAGTTTTTAAAAATGGAAACCCAAACAGCTAATAAATTTTCAAATGGGCAGTATCAGCTTAGCAAAGATTAATATATTATCCTAGCAACTGGTGATGAGGATGCTTTTAGAAAAGGCTGGTAGCACGGTGAACTTATGTAGCCTGTGCTGAGGGGAATCTGGCAATACGTTAAATTTTAAATGCGTGACCCCTCAACCAGGCAATCCCATCTCTTGTTATCTACTCTACAGAAATGCTTGCACGTAACCCAGAGGCTCCTAAAAGGGTTTTACTGCAGCCTTTATAAAAACAAGAGCAGGATTCATGTAAATGTTTATGAATAAAGAAATGGTTAAATCAACCGTAGTTTATGCATACTGGGAAAGATTATGTGATTATTAGAAATAATGCTGTAAATGTACACATCTTAAAATACCTCCAAGCTCTGTTGGAAGGTAAAATAGTAAAGGGCAAGGTATTGATACACATAAAGCAAAAATAGAGAAAGGCATAACCCATAAAACTATTTCTATAGCTACGTACAAATGCAGAGAAGAAGTCTGAAAAGCCTGAAGAAGAAGGCTAAAGTCATAAGCCATTACACCAAGTGATCAGGGGATGGACTTGGAGGAGACATCTCCATTCTATTGATATTATTTCCCCTCTTATAAAAAGAACATATTCAGATGCTACCCACCTTTTTTCATTTAAAACGTTAGAAGGAAAAGAATCCTTAATCATCGTCACATAATATGGGTTAGTGACCTCAAGTGAGCAGAGTTGGAGAGGAAAGGGAGGCAGCGGAATCCAGTGTTCCAGGAAGAGAGTGAGCCTTGGCGAAGAGAACATTCTCCCCATGCAAGTCAGGAGGAGGGCGGGCACACCTTCAGGCAGAACCTGAGGCGCGTGCAGAAGCGGGAAACGGAGGGATCTGGTGGGTGGTTGCAGTCACCTCGGGGAAGTGTAAGGCAGGGTGAAGGGAGCTCATGTACTCATTCAGTGAGCACTGACTGAGGACGAGCACCTACTACGTGCCAGGCACTCCTTGCGCTGCAGCAGCAATGAGCAGGGAAGCAGATCTCTTCTCTCAGGGAGTCTACACGCTAGTGCATGTGTTTGGGGCGACAGGGATCAAAAAGGCAATAAATAAACACACACACACAGAGCGATGTGTGGATGCAGAGCATTAAACCAGGATGACATCATAGAGAACTTCCTGGCTACTTTCGCAAGATGCTCAGGCAAAGCCTCTCCAAGGAGGGAACATTTTAACCGAAACCCCAAGGACCGGAGGGAGCAGCACTGACAAATCCGGAGGGAAGCAAGCCAGGTCTGGGAACAGCTAGTGCCCTGGCTCTGAGGCGGGCAAGAGCCGAGTGTGGTTCACTCGTGAATATAAAAAAGCTGCGGAAGGGCAAGGAGGGAACAGGACCAGATGACAACACAGACAGCAAGCCTCTAAGGTCCACAATCCGGGATCAAGCGTTGGGATTTTATTCTAGTAGAAGAGAAAGCTCTACGGGGTGTCAATACAAAAGTCCAACCATCAGATTCTAATTTAAAGGGATCACTTGCGTTTCTTTATGCAAACGGTCTAATCTAGCTCTCAGGTGAAGGTTAAAAAAATAAGCGATTCATGGAGCATGAAGACCTTCTAGAACACCCCAGGGTGGGAAAGGCAACACAGACAGGTACGAGGACGTGCAGGGGAACCGGGCGCTCAGCTGAAGTCGGGTTTCATGGCCGGTGTGAACCCATGAGCACAGTGTGTCACCTGCACCCCCGGCAGAGAAAGAGGGAACAGCGGAGCTCACCAGGCCGTGCAGGAACCAGCAGAACTCGGGAAAAATTCCTCCCAGGTCGACAAACTCCTCTGGGGCCAAAGGAAACCAGGCCGCCCCACGTCCGAGCTGCCAAGAACTACCATATACTGAGGGACTGACTCCAAGGCTTCATGTGAGGCCTATGATTGTTGTGGTGCCTCCTGCCACCACAGTGATCAGCACCGAGCAGCTCTCCCCAAACCTACACCACCTCAGAGGGCAAACAATCAGGAGGCCGCGCGTTCCTCATCAAGCAAAGCCTCAGCACGCAAACCCTAGGCCAGGGATGGCGAACCTGTGACACGCGTGTCAGAGGGGACACGCGAACTCATTTTTGGGGTTGATTTTTCTTTGTTAGATGGCATTTAAATATATAAAATACATATCAAAAATATAAGTCTTTGTTTTACTATGGTTGCAAATATCAAAAAATTTCTGTATGTGACACGGCACCAGAGTTAAGTTAGGGTTTTTCAAAATGCTGACA